TTTTTGTGTATTATTATACGTAAAAGAAACGTAATTCTTTTCACATTTTTAATCAATTTTATAACCATGAAATAGAGAATGTAAATAACGAAAATATTAAATTATTTTGCCTTCAAGGGATATATTTCTATTTCTCTCACAAAAAATATTATGCATTTATATATTAATAACTTTTTCATATTTTTCTGAGCACTTGCATTGTCACACATTTCATCGCAATAAAACAGAACGCGAATAATAAAAATACTGAATAGATTTTGGCTCGAAGGAAAGTACGCGTAATTCGGCATAATTAGAAGTAAATAATTAAACGTAAGAAAATATGTAGAAATGGTAGAATAAATTTCCCTCGCACGGGGGTTTTATTTTCAAGGAAATCTAATTTGAAATTCGCCAAGTACGTGCACGCTGAACTGTATAACACGGTTTCCTATCTTATTTCCATGCTGTCGGTGCTTACAGGCACAAAGATACGTAGAGCTGTAATTCTGCAGAAAAATGGATTGTAAAATTTTAATCAAGACCACGTATATACTCCGTATTTTCTAAAAATTGATATCCACGCTAACAAGACTCCGAGCAAGAAAGAAACTTTCTAGGTTGGATTTGTACTTGGATCTTTTATGAGATTATGTAGATACGTACACTGCCTTTCGGAAGTATTACGACACCCGTTGTGTGTAGAAAGTGTTATACGGTTCAAATTACATTTCCTCGCCAAAGTTAGTTTCATATATTAGTGAAAATATAAATATGTACTCGTTATACTTCGAGATTTTAGAATGAATCCTTTTTTTAAGGATATTGATCATTTTGTCGTGATTTTTGTATGGCAAACAATTTTATATTAAACTTGTAATGAAAAAGTCGTTTGCTTCACATTCGGTATATCCCAGTAGATTTCAATAGATTTTAGTGAAATTTAGATTTCAGTAGAGTACAGTAAATTTTAATAGAATTCAGAGTATTTCAGTAGATTTAAAAATGAAACACAATTTTAATTTCAGTGGATTTTAGTAAAATTTTGTAGATTTCGTAGGGTTCGGTAGATTTTGGTAAAATTCAGTAGACTCACATGGGGCCTCAACAAAAGTATCAGGCAGTCCGTTTTTCGCTACTTGTTGGTCCTTCAACCTGAAAATACCCCTTAAAACTTAACGTTTCCTAATTTTCCCCTATGTCTTGAAAACTATAACACATCTGAAACAATTGTTACAATAAAAATTCAATGTCTCTCTATACCTAATAGAACCGTGCAACGAAATTATTAAAAATATTTGTTCAAATAAAAAACACTTCTCCACTAACTTCATTTAAACAAAATTTCAATCTCCTCTTACCAAAAATATGCATCAAATCACTCTAACAATTTCGTCACACCTACTATAGTTTGCAAAGTAGCAAAAAAGTAGAAAACACACGTTAACAATTAGGAGCAAGAAAAGAAATCGCCTGCAAAGTTAAAAAAAAAAATCAGAATTACCAGACTACCAAAATTCCCTCGTTACTGTCCTCTACCAGCAAAACCGACGTTGCACGAAAACTAAAAGCAGATACAAGATTGAACTTGGTCACGTGTCGATGTAAATAGCGCGACTTAAAACGCCTACACAGATTAAACGGTCGTAAGATCGATTGTAAGATCGGGCGAAATCACTGTAGTCTGGCAGCAATCTCCGACCAACACTCCTGTTTAATCGACAGTAGTGACGCTTATGAAAGCCCCTTGTTTTGCATAATTGCCGCTTATGCGCGCTCAACGACGGTGGGTGGCTCGGGGGGGAAAAGGGACGTCCTTCGCGGCCGGATGGGGTTGCTGGATGGTTGCTTCGTGTTTGTGGTGTTCCTGCGATGTGTCGAGTACTTACCACGTACTTGCTGCTCAGAATGGCAACACTAATGGCGGCACAACAATGCAACGAGCTGCAAACAGGAGTCCTGTCTTTATGGGATTGCTATATCCCCCTTTACCTACGTCCTCTTTCCTTTTTCGCCTCGCTTCCCTTTTACATTCGGTTTTTTCTCCTGTACTATAGCGTGTACATGCTTAGCGCGAACCTTCTATGCTCCAACGACCTATTTTGCTCTTGCTTTTCCTTTATCTTTACCCGATGTCATTTATCGTTTTCATCGAAGTGTCGCAATGGAAGGGCGGGTGACACTCGAGGGGCACGTTGATTGGTAATTTGGCGATCGAGCGACAGATTCAAAAAGGTTTCTATCGAGGTTTCGAGGAGACATCACGCACATTCCGAGTCGCGATCGAACACTCGAGTTATTTAAAACAAGTCGTCAATCGTTTCGCGACGTACCCTACTTTTGCTACGTTCCGAGCAAAACAAATTTGAATTAGTTGCCAAAAATTAATTTGGCGGGTACGGCGACCGCGAGCTTCCTTTTGAACATCGCAAAAGAACGCGACGCGACAACATTATTGTTTCAAATAATTTCCACAATTTTCGATACACTTTTACTGTTTCTGGCACGATCTACGTACTGTGTCATTCGTAGTACCATAAAAAGTGCAACATACTCTCCTAAAATTGCACATAAACTTGGAAAACAGTTTCTTCCATTAATTACTTAGAAATGCCACTTTCATCGGTAAAATTTTCCCGGACGCAACGTGAAAACGACCGAATTATCAATCGTAATTTACAGAAAAAATATCGCAATCCTCGTCGATTCTTGCAGTTATTTAAACAACGGTAGATTGCAATTTTATCTGAAATCGTTAATTAAACATTACACACGCGGCTAAATTCAACAGTATATTTTTAACCATATATTACAGTATTTTCCTTTTATAAATGTGTAACCTGTGATATGTTATTACTAAATTCGACCAAGTCCTATTTTCCAACAAGTTTAATCAAAATTTTGCAAATGTTTACTATTATTCACCAACGAATACACAAACTTGAATTAATCTACCGATATGATTGCACGCGTGCATGTTTATTTTGATCAATATGATTAATTTTGAAATATTAGAACGAAAATCTTCAATTAATAATCCTTCATAAATTAGTATATTCCAGAAATATCACAGTTTATCTATCCACCGGTAATTTCACATAAAAAGAAATAAAAAAAAAAACTAGAATTTCTAATTATCACGTTGGACTTTCTCAAAGTTCAATCCATGAAAAAAAAAAGAAAAAAAAAACGTAATACTGTTCGATTTAAAACAGATTTCGCACAGGTTTATGGGACACATCAAGAACTTACGACGCGTGTGCACGATTTATTCGCATAGCGGATCTGAACGGCGAGTAATATCCTGCACGCGCCTGTGCCCTTTCCGTGTGTCGATGCAATTTGTCCTGGATGATGGCGATGCACTATTGCAATATCACCAAGGACAACTTGTGACTCTCTTTTTCCCCCTTTTTTCCTCCTCTCATCCGGTATGCGTTACTGTAGCTCGCGTTCATCGCAGATATGTAAAGCGGATATGAAAGAAATTTTTTATTCCACTTCGTATCCCTTGCGGGAAAGTTTCTTTCATACGTGAATAATTGCGTCGTTTAACAGCTTCGTGGTGTACTTTCGAGGGTGATCGACAGATCTACGTTGCAACATAAACGTCTTGGTATGGCGTAGTAATTTTTGGTACGTAGAATTGAAATAGTTACGGGGACGAACCACCCTGAGGCTTCGAAAAGTAGTTTAACCCCTTAACGTATGATTTCTTTTCGGACTATGCATCTAAGCGTCAGCCATTTACCGTTTCAGTACTGTATCAGGTAACGCAAGCTAATCTGTTAGAGATTAATTACATTCAACAATGCTCAGACTTTCGAATTAAAACGAAAGTTAGGATTACCATTAATTCTTTTTTACTAATGTAACTATTTTTCTCACATCTTGACCGGGATTTCTGCCACGAGTCTGACACGTTGCTATAGGTTAAGGGGTTAAAGTTTGTAACTACTAAATGACAAGTTTCGACTTTTTTTTTCAGAGGATACGATAACTTGAAGATTTTTTTATAATTTTCGAACGGTAAAAATGTGAGTACAGCGTTCAAAATGATTTTGCGAACTTGAAGGTCCCTATTTCACGTGTATTTATCCCCTTTTTTACCTTTGGTTCTGTTGTTATATATTGTGTCGAGATTTGTTATTCTTATCTAGAATCTGTAAATTTAGGAAGCCATATTGTGTTTCTGCAAATTGGGTACTCGAGCAAATATAGTTAAATATTCGGTTGTCCATGTATTATATTAAAAAGTGTACGAATTAAAATACGAAGGTGAATTTTTATGTAACTAAAACGTGATTGGAAAATTAGGTTCATTTCGATAGAAATAGAGAACACAGAAATTCAGAAGATAAAGTCGAAAACTTGCGAATAATAACACACAACAGAATTGGATATTCACTTTTTCTGAAAAGTTACTAATGGGTCGTTTTTGACCCGACCGTGGTCGTTCTAGTATTAAACACACTCGAAATAGAAATCTCTAAATATACGTGTACACGGTGTACTAAAACCAGGGATTTTTAATTCCCTAATACACATCACGCGTGTCTCGTGCACGCGTTTACCTCTAATACACATTCAAAGCCATGAAGTTGTGGAACCAGAAGGCACTTACCTTTTGATTTGATAAAATCAAAAGGTTTATTGGAAATATTAATCCAAATTATAAAATTCGACACGAACTTATGGGATGACCTAAAATGTTTATTTCTTCTCAAACTTTGCATATCATTTAAAAAGTTCCTATCGAACTTCGAATTTGATATTTCCGAGAAATTTATGTGGAATAAGTAGATAATCAAAGCATCGAAAATGTCGAAGAAGCAGATGTTGAATACCTTAGATAGAATCACTCGTGTACGATCTCTATCGATCGTTTGAAATTAGAAATATCGAAAATTACACATTGCATATTACCAGAGTATCGAATATTGCACAAAACTTTCTTCGCAGTTACACGATCGCAACTGTGAGTTGCGTAAAAATGTAAGCAAGTTGGAGAATGCACTGACCTGTTCTGCAGATTCGGTGATGAAAGAGTGGCAATATTGTATGCTGAAGTGCGCTCTAGGTTCTCGCGCGAGAAAGCTGAATTGAGCGTGCTGAGGTTCACAGGTTGCGTACGAGATGCGCCTTAACGCGTGCGCCATTTGCACGCACTGAAAAAATAAAACAAACATACTGTATATTTTCGAACAGTTGAAATAAAATTTTGCAAAGCATTTGCAAATATGACTGTAAAAATCCAGATCACCCAACACTCTTAATTTTTTGGAAAGCACAATGTTTTTAGAAAATTCTTTACACATTTTTGAATTTAACTTTTTGCCATATTTGCACGGTTTCGTAGATACTCGCGATAGTACACGAATTCGTAATTTGTTTGAGGGAGCGCGGCCTTAGTCCTTTAAAATCAGCCTTCGGCGAATTTGAACTTTCCTTTGGAAAGTTATTGCACGCTGACTAACTTGTTTCTGAAGAGCCCAAAAAATACTGCTTATCACGTTGACCCCTTTGCGAATCACGATTAAGAGAGAGCCGGTCGCGATGATAAAAGGACATTATAATTCATGAATCGTACATTTCGTATTTCAACCTTCGTGAAATGTTTCTTTCTTTTAACATGATTCTATAATCTCTCAAACAACTTCCTTATATTTTACACTCAACCCTTACCTGGTCAAGGTGAGTCTGAAAGACTCGAACGCCTAATTTTTGAACCCCTGGCTGTATTATAACGAGTCAAACGCGTGCTACAGATTTTGGTCAAGATCCGATAGAAACACTTATGTCAGTAATAAAAATTTTAATTCTAAGTTTCTATTTAATTAATTTGCAACACATCAGCTTTTCTTACTTGACATAGTATTGAAACAGTAAACAGCTGACGCTTAGATACGTCAAAGAGTTAAAAATGTTTTGAACCCACTCGAGAAATCCAAAATCCCTTCTATTGTATCAACTAAATTATAGTCAACCAAAGAAAACATATTTAAATAATTTTATTACACAAGGAAACAGTAGAGATCCATCAGACTCTGATCTATTTTTGCAGAAACCTCCTTAAATTATACTAAATACATACATAATTCATTTAATCCTGAATATAACCCGTTAAATAAGTTCTCAAAAAGTCCTGAGTATTTTTGAAAGTTTATCCTAAAGGCAAACTATAGCACCCGTTAATACTCGTATATTCCAACATGCTGTCCATTTATTTACGTTACACATTAGGTCTGTGCAAAAGTTTCCATCGCTCATAAATCGACAGCAACAAAAGACAATATGTTTCTATTTTTATTGAAATTTTCACAGCTGGCATCCATACTGAATACCCCTAGTAAAATATCATTAGTATTCTCACGACGATTAATTGCAAAAATAATAAAAAAATACTCTGCGAACTTTTGCATAAACCTAATAAACAAACTACCCAAACAAAGATTAACCCGTCCTTTCATCAAATCGAGCGAATATCAGTTAAAGCAGTAAAATACATTTTCCAAAATTTACACACGAAATATCTCCTTCCGAGAAATTAGAGGGAAGTATTTTCTCTGGCTTCAATATGATCCTCGCTAATTTCGCATAGTGGTGCCTGCAGAGGATCGTAAATCCAACGATTTCCTCCATGTTTACAGCGCCAACTCTCTCTCTCTCTCCTTCTATTTGCAAAACGGATAGTAATTGCAAGCTTTCCTTCCCTTTTGAATACGAAATAAAAATGTCTACCAAATAATGATACGCCACTCGGAAGGCGCGCGTAAGGTCAAAAGATCAAAGCAGCTTGTTACGTTTCAGTCTGCAGGTACCGGGAACACTTCTCAGGTATAAAGTAGCGACGACGTCTCTCGCGACACCATTCTCGCGCGTTATCTTCTGTTATATATTACGGAGCTCGTTGAATTTCTCTTTGCGATTTTATACGTTCTTACTAGTTTTCACCGTTTGCTTGTTTCTACGTCGCTTCCGCCCCCCTTTACAGTGCATGCTCAAAAACTTTCGGCCCTCTTTGAAGTACTACGTATATCACGGAGGTTCCCTCGAAAGCTGGTTTATTCAGCGGTCACGAGTAACGATAATAAAAAGGATCTACATTTGCTCGACGAAAGAACTTATCTCTATCTTATATGTCGGGAGATGGAAATTTTATGATTAACCCTCGTCCGTCCCTCGTGTGAAAAAATTCTATTATTCTTTCTTTAATTCCTTAAATTCCTTGTTTATCTTTTCGTTTGATCGATTTCTTACCATTACGTCAAATTGACACCGAGGGACCTATTAAGATGAGGGACGGATGAGGGTTAAGCATTTTTAGGATTTCTAGGTTAGCTTTCCGTGTTCCTATTGCAAGAAATACGGGAAACTTTCGTTTAGAAAGAAAATCTACGACGTATTTTATTATTTACACTAACGAGAAAAACAGACGTTTACAGATACAGACTATTGCACCATTTGCACAGACTGACTCGCTTTTGTTGCTCGCCTCTTGTTTACATAATATGTACATAGATGTTTCGGGGAAGTTCTCGGTTATTCCAAACGAAACAGAAGTGAATGTGTTTATGTGTCTTCCGCGGTTCGAGAAATTCCCCGAATGTTCTCGAAAGAAATAGAAACTATTTTTATTTTAAAAAATTAATTTGATTTTGAAATTTTCGCTGTGAAAATATTAGTTGTACCGCTTTGTGTCTTAAATTCGGAGCTGGATAAAATTTGGAGAAAAAGTATTGTACAAATATGAAAAAGTTTGTTGCTGTAATATTTTTTGTTTAATTATTTAGCGAATCGTTAAATTCGCTAAACTGCGGTGATCAAACGTGGTGATCAACTGAACGGAAGGTAATGAGTGTTATACGAGTTGTGTTCTAAAAGAACATAAGAAAATGGCATCCTCATTAAGCTGGATAACTCATAAATATCACTTAGGAGTATGGAAGTGTCAGAGATATCGCAGCTCGTTAGTAGCAACAGTAAATCTTCGGCAAGCTGAATCTGACGAGTGTGGGATGAACTTCAAGTATAGGAAATCAAACTGGAGTACTGATCAGTTTTTTTATGAAATATCAAAGTATGTTCGTCCTTTCGTGATCCAAGTATTTTCTTTTCTACAGAATTTCTGATTTATCTAGGGATCGTTGCGTCTGTGATCGATGATAAATTGAGATCAATTTTAGTCTGAGTACTTCCTTTGGTCACGAGAATAAAATAATATACTATTTTGGATTTTATAAGTTATCTGCCATATTTCACTTATCATTCAACTTTACCCTTTTCTTTTGGTCTATACATCTTTATGTTGTATCTATAAACTTTCTAAGCAGTTTTAATTAGAATATGTTT